GCTGTGTCTCTCTCTGTCAAATAAATAAATAAAATCTTAAAAAAAAAAAAAAGACATATTGTGAACTAAATAGCGGGTAGGCGACTAACTATGACCCACTTACTGACCCTCAGTAATACTATACAATATTACTCACTTAATGATCAATATTCCTGCAGAGATCAATACAAAATTATTACCTGATAACCTCTAATTCCTTCCAAGTTTGGTTTCACTTTACCCAAATGCCAACAGCAGATGTTAAAAGACAGGAAATTAAAAAGTTTTGATACAAATAACTGTGATAAATTTAACTAAAAATCTAAATTGCTTTCCTGAACTCCAAGGAGTTGGGAGTAATAAAAACATTTCTATTTGTTATATCTGGAGCAGAGAACAGGCAAAATAACAGCCCACACCCAAAGATTTCTTCTCTAAGGGAGAATACAGCCCATATGTTATGTAACTCATTCAACACTTGAGGAGGTAGACATCATGCTGTTAACATCCTTTTTCCCCTGCCCTTTGGTCAGGCTCACCTAAAGCAATCTCATTAACACCCCCATCTTCCCCAGAGTAGAAATTAATCCAGAGTTTGTTATACCAGGTTCACTGTAATAGATCTGCAAGGTTTTAACCTCTTCTCCAATGAGGGTTCAATGAATTTGGAACATTTTCACCCAGAGATGTTCAAGGACAAACATCCAAAGCTGGTTGGTAATTTCTGCTTTATAGCCTACTGCAAAAATGGGAATACACACACATATGATTTCTAATCTGGTGGCTACAGCAGGGTACAAGGCTGAGGAAAATATGTCAGAAGATGAGGAAGAACACTGAGGAACAACAGACCCTCCTCAGATCTGAAGGCATTTAACTTCCTTGACATGCTACCTATGTAGAGAAAGTGTTTCACCACAAAAGTTTTGCCAATTTGCATTGAACAAGCCATTACCAATGACCAATTAAAAACACTTAAAAGCAGCCCCAAAGAAACAAGGAAACAGTTCAGCTCCCGTCTCCATCACTCCTCACCGTTTTCTGCCGAAGCAGACATTCTACGAAATCATCAAATTCTATCTTGCACTCTTTCTCTGCACGGGTACCACCGATTCCATGAGCACATTCTATCCACTCTTTTTCAAAAGCATGGCATCGACCTGGAATCTTGTGAGGCTGCTCAGCACTTTGGATTGTCATCCAATGATCTAAGTTAAGGCCCAGCCTTTTCTGCACATCAAAGAAAGGCATGGCTGAAATGGAAGATAAAAAAAGAAATAATGCCATAAAAGTGCAATCAAATGATAAATTTCTAAGGAAAATGAGATAATTATAAGTATCCTCTAGAAAGATATTTTATGCTATTCTCCCAATATATTCTTACTAAATTATTTCATTTGAAAGGTTCCTCTAGTTTATGGTAGATTAGCAGTATCTGTGTTTTCACAAAGCCCGAAAAAGAAACCCAACCCACCAGAACTAAAAAACGATGCATAAAAGTCATCTCTGTATTGATAAGGTCATTTTTTATAAGGTCATTTTAATCAAAAGTCATTGTTTATGTTTTGACTCAATAATCCCAATTCTTTGAGATAAATCTGAAGAAATAAAACAAAAAAGCACAAGCACAAAAACATTTCTTTACATTTTCCTATTTGTCTCAACTCAGATGACACTTCTCCTGTGAAGCCATCCTGAATCTGGTGTCCCTCCTCTGTGTTCATACAGCATCTCAACTTCCCATAGGAGTACTTTGCACACCACTGTAATGGATTATTAACTTGAATGTCTCCCTTATTGAACAATGAGTGCTGTGAGGACAGGGACCAGGTAGGGCCTCCGTAATTGTTAGGGGGAAAAAAAAAGAATTTCAAATAACTTAAGTGTGCAGTAGGGAAATGGATAATTCCAGTACCCGCCTAGTAGCATATGACAGACGTTAGGAAAAACAGGTAATAGACATGGTACGTTATACATGGTACC